GTCGACATTGGCTAGCAGATGGTACTTGGAGGAGGCCTAATCTGTGGGATCTAATTGGTGTTAGGGAGGTAATTGGCAGGAGGCGGTCTCTCAAGACTATGTTAAGACAGCATGCCAGTCCTATTTTAGAATGAACAAATCTAGGATTAAATTACCTGCCCTTCAAGAACTGCTATTTAGTGATAAACCTATTGCAATAGTTGCTATGAAATTAAGTCGCTATGTGAATTAAGGTGCTTTGCAATAATTTCAATGCTTGTTTACTGCACGCAGATGCTGGGATTAGCACAGGGGTGTTTCGATCATACTGTCCCATACACAAAGGAAAGAACCCAGTTTGGAAAAAGCATTTTTGATTTTCAGGTATTGATTGATGTGTTCTGTGAAATAGATAATAAACTTAAAATATAAATAATTATGGCTGGTTGAGATAAACATTATGAGCCGTGAGCCATACCGTATTGTTACAATTCTATTGCAGCTAATACTGAGTAATTACTACAAAATAATATATTGATAGTCCATGTATAATAACCACAACATATTCAATTGAACAACATATCTAAAATGTCACTACTGTTCCAGGTAAAAATAGTTTGCCTCTTATTGTTTCATACGTCATGACAAAATTGTTACAGAATCCATCTGCATTGTCAGGTAGCAGTTGTAATACATATTATATATAACATTGTATGTAACCAATTTTGATGAACCACTGTGACAACAATGGTTTCCCCTTCTTTGTCTAGTTTTTAATTCCATTTTGGCCATTCTAGTCACTGATCTTTACCTACTTAATCATGACTAGGCACTTTCAAGCAGAAATTAGATTTATAATTGAGTAAAGGATTGCTTAAGAATTGCAAAGATGCTACTATAAGATTGAGAACGCCATGTATTGTTGATGGCTTTGAAAGCAGAGTTAATTTTTTTCCCGAGGGCAATGTTTCAATATAAGTTTTATTTCTAAGGGACTGCAACATCAGATTGCTCAAGTGGCCATTCAGATTGAAGCAGCAAGGTTGCTGACTTACAACGCAGCCCGATTTGCAGAAACTGGGAAGCCATTTATAAAACAAGCAAGCATGGCCAAATATTACGCAGCAGAAGTAAGATCTCTATTTTTTTCTGTTTAAATTTTAAGAACTGAAGGGGAATTATTTTTTCTTTCAGGTCTCAATTCTCTTCGTTTCAATCAGCTATGTAGAGGGGAGAGCAGAAGAAACGAAAAATGAAACTTTAAATATATTTCATAGTATTATTTAAAAAAGAAAGAATAAATTATTTCCTACTTTAAAAGAGTGAAATTATATTATACATTTTGATTATGTGTACAGTTAGCAAAGAAACATACAGTTGCAAGAAAAAGTATGTGAACCCCTTGGGATTACGTGGAGTTTTGCATGAATTGGTCATAAAATGTGCTCTCCATTGTGCAGGTCTGATCTGCAACTACAGGAAACGTTTGGTCGAGGTTATTGCTGCCAAAGGAGGATCAACCAGTTATTA